TGGGAACCTGGGTGGGAACTTTTTCTTTAAAAGATAGGCCCCTTTCTTTGTTCTCCCAGAGCATACTTTTGGTTTGCTGCTGAAGGCCACATTTCCCCAGTTTGCAAACTGTCTGAGCAATAAAGTTTACCTAACTAAATTCTTGTATTCCAGAAATCTTTGTTGACACTAGTAAGAGTAGGACTGACAAAAGCTCAGTGTCTTAGTTTTAAAGATTAGAGAAAATTTAGCGGCCACATGCAAAGATTTTAAATCTTTGTGATTGCTGCCATGCCTGAAAAAGGGACAGGAGGGTGAAAATGATGTGCTTTTGCTTATTGACATCAATAGGGTAAAATGCTGTATTTCTAAACTGTGGTCTCTCGTACAAATAGTTCCTGTAAATGATAAGATGCAGACTGAGTTAAGCAGGAGAGAGTTTCACTGCCTTTAAATTGGATTTTTATGGATTAATGGAATTCAATTTAACCGGTACTTCTTAAAAAGGCACTGTGGAAGAGACAAATACAAAATTTATGTCTCTTTCAAACTTTTGATCTTGTAGTATATCAACATGAAAGAGGTATCCATGATCCCTACTGAGTCTGTACCTATCGTCTATGAGAATTAAGGCTTCTCTCCCCATGGCAGGACCAGTCAAGAGGACTTTGGGATTCATAGTCATGGACCCATCGCAGTGAGAGTGCTGAGTTTTAACCACTAGATCACCAGGGCTGGCTTATTATTATTCACAGTAATAATCTTATTGTTTCTCCTTTGCCTCAATTCTTCCCTTGGAGAGATGTGATGAGAGCAGGATGTCATCCCACACATACCAGGTTCTGTACTGTAGCGAGAAACCTCCCCCAAAATATGAATCTGGGAGCTTGTATAAAATTTCCCTTCCTGAGTGTGAGGCATAAATTTACTTTCCCTAATGAAAACAAAGTTCCCTTGGGAAGAGAAGAAGGATCCTGAGTTGCCATCCTTTGAAATATAAATAAATGTCACCAGGGGAAAGAGAAGACAATCATCTGAGTTTACAACCTCCAGAATGTCTCCAAGTCTTTGGGTCTCATCCCCTCCTTGAAATATAAACATGTACCTCCTGAGGGGTAAATCTGTTACTATCTATACAGTTATCATCTAACTTCTATGGCTTATCTTGTAATGAGTTGCCAGTAAAATTTGCCAAGAAGGGCTTAACCGTGTGGAAACATAAGGGTAGTCACTTCCTGACACAAATCTGAAATGTGGCTTCCAACTCAAGTAGTTGTTTAAAAGAAATGTTTATAGTGTATTCTTGTCTTTTAATCACCAATTTCATTTTGAAAAGCATTTGACTATTAAGGTCAGAGTGAGAGATCCCAAAGTATTTCCATACTTTGTGATGTTTATCAATTTTTAACTCATCGTAATGTCCTCATCTATTCATTTGCAATCCCTATACCCTCTACTGCCCCCCACAGGGCTGTGAGAGGAGCTGAGGAAGGGAACCATGTATTTAGCGTACAGTGCTCCTGGAAATAGGCACATGGTTGAGATGTCATAAAGTATCCTCAATCCTCTAATAACTAAAAATTAGGGTTACTGTGTGTGGTAGATTATATTTTCCAAAACTGTCTGCAATAATATTTCCAGTTCCATGTGCTCCTCTAGAACCTTGCCACATCCTTATCAGGAGCCGGAGTCTCTGTCCCCTCCCCTGGAACCTGGGCCGGGAGGGTCTGCGTGCTTGTCTTGACTACAAGAGCATGGCGGAAGTGCCGCCCGCCATATGACTTCTGAGGCTGGGCAATAAATGGCAGTACAACTTCCACCTGGCTCTCCTCTCACTTAGGACAGGAGCCTTTGGAGCCTGGAGCCACTCTGTGAGATGTCCAGCTAGCCAGGTGCTGCTATGCTGGAGAGACCATGTGGACAGACACATAGAGACAAAGTAACATGCCTAGGGGCTTCTAGAAGCTCCAAACTCCAACTGTGTGAGTTTTCCCAGCGTACACGCCAGACATGTGAGAAGCAGGTTTTCAGAATATTCCAGCTCCTGCCGTAATCTGACTGCTGCTGCATGAGATGCCCTGAGTGAAAACCGCCTAACGGAGCCCAGCCAGCCTTCTAAACCAGGAGGGCTAATAATCAAATGATGGCTGTATTTTACACCACTCAGCTTGGCGTGGTTTGTTATGGGCAATAGATAACCCAAACATTCTTTTATTGTTCAACTAGCGAAAACACTCCACGAAAGGATGATATTAACTCCCTGCCGAAGTAACATTAGATGAGAGCTCTCAGTGTGGGGCAGAGGTGACTTGGGAACACGACATTCAATAAAGGCAAAATCTCCAGGAGGAAAGAACAAGTGTGATTGCAAACAAGAAAGCTACTTCTGTCAAAAGTAACATGCCAGATCTGAAGACAGACAGAGCAAGGAGCATGGAGTCTACAGAAAAAGAGTTGCCAACAAGGTTTTATCGGTTTTTATCCCTCATTGTTTAATAAACAAAGACGTCAATTCTGGTGAATTATAAAAACAGGAATGATTGCTGGGGCTTTTACTCTGACCTGGATTATACGTCCTTTAGGACTAACTGCTCTCCTTCTCCCTGATTCGTTTCCGTCTTCGCTTTAGATCTGCCCATAAGGAGAAACTCTGAGGACCCAACAGAGCACAGTACTGTGCTAAGCCAAGCGGCAGTTATAATTCTGTTGGTGAGTGATGTCACCTTTATACATCAATGTCTTCCGAGATTAGTTCATGTAAATCAGTCTCCTATAACCTTGTCACCTCAGAGGGAGCACATAAAAACTGAGTTCCTGGATGTGCAAATCTGACAAGTGGAAAAGGACCTTGACAGCCGCTCAAAGGCCTTGTCATTCTGGCCTCACACCAAGTTGGCATTACACATATAACACTTCAAATATCCAACTCATATCTGACCAAGAAAATTGCTGTTTGTAATGATCGTTGCTGTTTAGCAACATTCCACCCAAGACCTTTCACTTTAATGAGTTAAAATATGGAATCTATAGAAACAAAAATTCTGGACTCTTAAATAGACTAAATCCTAACCTATGTTCTACAATAAATGGAATAGTCCCTAATTTATTAGTTTTTCCATATTACTGTCAACTTAGACAATAATAATAATGTTAACAACAACAATAACATTAAGTGCCTATTTAGTGCTGGGCACGTTGTTCAAGAAGCATTTTTTAAAAGGTTTTAATCAATGTTTAATGGTATCATTAGTGATTTTCACAAATGTAAACAATCATGTAATCACCACCCAATCAAAATATAGAATATTTTCATCACTTCAGAAAGTTCATTTGTGCCTTTTTCTGGTCAGTCTCCTACCCCCACTCCTAGCTTCTGGAAGCACTGAAGTGTTTTTGGTGCTTATAATTTTGCCATTCCTAGAATGGTGTATAAGTGGAACAATATAGTATATCACCTCTTAAGCCTGGCTTCCTTCATTTTGCGTAAATCTTTTGAGGTTCACTCATGTTACATGTATCAGTTGTTCATTGCTTCTTATTGCTGAATAGTATTCCATAGTAGAAATATACCACACTTTTTTTAGCCATTCACTAATTGATGGACATTTGGGTTGTTTCCAGTTTTTGGCAATAATGAATAAAGCTGCTGAAAACCCCATTTGTATATAGGTTTTTAGGTGGCATATGTCCCTATTTCTCTCGGGTAAGTATCTAGGAGTGGGATTACTGGGTGGCATGACAAAGAGTTTTAAATATAGTATGTCATTTAATCCTCGCCAGCAGTCATTTGTGGAAAGTATTATTGTTAGTTCCTCTTTAGAGATGAAAGCTAAGACTTGCAGAAGTTATGTAATTGCCTAAAATTACATGGCCAGTGGGGAGAAACCCAGGCTTGTTTGACTGCAGAGACTGAGATCTTAGCTGTTACTTCTGTCGCTGCTCCCAATGTGTTCCCAGCTAATGCCTAACCACTTTGGAAATTAAAGTAAAAAATGTGACCTCATCACCCCTGTGATCAAGTATGATAAAGACTTGATTTCAGATAGAGAAATGAAAGGATTAGAGAGTACAACATGAAGTCTTTATAGAATCGATTTGAAGGAAATTGGAATGAGTCACAAAATGGCAAATACATGAAGATGACAATGAGAGTCAATTCAAAACTCAATTCAAGGATGAGTCATCATCTTTATCTTTTGATCCAGTTCAAACAGTATAGGATTGCACTGGCTCCAGCATTGAAATAGAGCTCTGATGGATGTTTTCTCATAAGGCTCCTCTGCTGTTAATGAATACTAAATACCATGTTAGCACTAAAGCAAGCAGGAACAACATCTCCCTTCAAACACATACTTACATTTGGGAACTTCTAACGTTCTTTTGTCACAATAACAATAGTAATAAATTTACTGTATGAATAGTTAACATCTTTAACAGTTGTGTTTTATATTCAAATATATATTGCTTGGATTCCAAAGTGATATTCATAATATGAGCAAGAGAGAAATTGTTGAGATTAACCTCTAAAAATGTATTGTGGAGATTGTGGAGCTCTTCTGTAGAATCGGAAATAATGGGAAATTGACAGTGAAATATAAAAGTAGATCATGAATAGTTAATACCCAATTCTTCTATGATGAAGGAATGAAAATAACAACTAAGTAGTCACCAGTGACAATTTAAGACAAATATGTCATCCCTCAATGCCTAGCACAAAGTCTTGCATTTATTAGAAGCTGAATAAATATTTGCTGGGTTGAATTTAATCTTTCCGTGACGAATGTTCATAGGAATGGTGAGATAATAGTGGCAAGCACTCTCTATAAAGTCTGGGTTTAGCATTAATAAAGGCAATGTATTTTTGTCTTACCAACAAAAACTGAAAGGGAATGCAAATGTTATTATTAATATGGTAACCAGCTTTCCCAAAGAAGACCAGGTTGAATGGGATTGTTGACAGTGGTGACTGACACTTGACTCGCCTAGTGTCATTTGAGTACTAGTGTATCCTTTTCTCTTAGAATTTAGGTACCAAGGAAAACTCTCATCAAGTCCTTCTGATGATCACACACTAGGAGACTCTCGCAGAACAAAAACAAATGCAAGGGACCCAGCATCTGGAATTGTCCGCCTTGTGAGGCAGAGCTCGCCCCCCAATCTAGAAGCTTAAATCAACAGAAACTCTCTGCCCACCGTTGCAGCCAGCACCAGGGTGTAGGCTCTGTTAATCAGATGCACTGGCTCCTGTTTTAATGGGAACCCACTGACTTGAAGAAGGAAGAACTCTAAGAAATCTACTCTGGTAAGTCTGGGAGCAGAGGAGACAGGACATCTAGCTTCCAGAATCTGCAGAGGCCACAGTTCCAAAGGCAGCTTTTGGCCTCCACTGCCTGCATTATTAGCAGCTTATGCTCCAGTGTCTATGCCCATTGTTGGTAGCAGCGGGGTCCTCATGGGACTAATTCTGTGGTGTGATGTTGGGTAGTGTTGAATGATGCCTACCCTTTTTTTTTTTAAGTGAGGAAGACTGTCCCTGAGCTAATATCCATGCTGATCTTCCTCTATTTTGTATGTGGGGCGCTATCACAGCATGGCTTGATGAGTGGTATATAGGTTCACACCCGGGATCCAAATCCACAAACCCCAGGCCACTGAAGCAGAGCACATGAACTTAAATACTACGCCACTGGGCTGGCCCTGGATGCTTAACTTTTTGATCTGGAATGAAGAGCCTATCTGATATGTGCCCATTTTTATAAAGTAGCTGCAAATAGCCAAAAGACATGAAATATTCTTGAAGAGTAAAGTAAATTGGGGCATATGTTTAGCTCCAGAGGAAAATAGGAAAACTACATAACGGTCTGGGACTCCAAATCAGTGAAAAGAAAACAGAAAGAATTTATTAATTGTGCAAAAGAGTGGTTCCCCTGGTAATTGTAGAATAAGGGTCCTGCATAGGTGGTGTTCATAAAAGTAAGTATTTTAGGCAGCCAGGCTTGACTGTGGTGTCACATTAGGTCAGACGCGTGAACCAGTGGATAACAGTAAGAGTCAATTTCAAAATTTTAATTCTGTGGGTAATATGAACTGTTTAATTTTTTTTGAAAGAAATTACATTAAAATAAGCTTCCCAAGGAAATGCAGTGGTTGCCTCCCCAGCATTCATTCTCTCTCTCCTTTCTAATGGGACCCAGTGCTTCCCAGCCTTGTGGATCAGTTGGAATTGATCTCACAGCGGCTCTAGGGACGTGCCCTAGTCATGGTGGTTGGGATAGGATTCTGACTCAAATTGTGTCAAAGGGATAGAAAGGTGATGTTTGATGAGTAGCACCTGGAAAAGAGAATCATTCTCTCTCATGAATGCTAGAAAAAGATGCTCCTTTCTTCCACTGGTTGTGAGTGAGGAGGAAGTTAGCTCCAGTTGATGCCTGTGGCTCGGTGCTATCATGAAGAATGACAGCTGTAGTGAAATTCTGCCACTGGGGAAAGCAGAGTAGAGAGACAGAGAGAAAGTGGGCCCTGTGGCATCATTAAACTCTGGACCAAGTTTTGCCCAAATGTCCATTCAGGTCCTCCGGAAAGCAGACATGGAGATGGAATTACCAGTGCCCGAGATTTGTTGGGGGTAAGTCCAGTGAAAGATGAAGGTGGAAGAAGCGTATTGGGGAGTGAAAGTCTTTAGCCCTGGATGCAGGGGCTGAGCCAAGGGGGAGGATTGGGCAGGAGAGCCTCGACTCTGATGCAGATTTTGCAGTCTCGGCTGACCCAACAGGGAGCTTCAGAGCAAAGGTTGCTTGTTGGAAGAGTCTCACATTGGGCAGAAACTCAGCCCCTGGTACTCCTGCTGTGCTATGGACCAGGGCTGTCCGGAAAGAATGTGGTCTCAGCTCAAGGCTGTGGAGGACCCCGAACGTCCAGTAACTGGTGGCGGTCGGTTACCTGCTCCCTCACAGTTGGACAGTTTGTTCTTTTTGGAGGAAGATCCAAGTGGTGCACGTCCTCTATCTCTGGACTTCTTAAATTGCTTGAACCGCTAAATCCCTTTCTTCTTCTTGCTGTTATTATTATTATTAAAACAGTTGGACTTCAGTTTCTGTTACTTGTGACCAAAGGAATTCCAACTAGTATGTGAAATAAATATTTTTAGATTTAAGAAGTCAACACACTTAAGGAGCAAGGTAATTTATATTAGCTCTCTTTTTTTTTTTTTTTTTTTTTTTGAGGAAGATAGCCCTGAGCTCACTACTGCCAATCCTCCTCTTTTTGCTGAGGAAGACTGGCCCTGAGCTAACATCCATGCCCATCTTCCTCTACTTTATATGTGGGATGCCTACCACAGCATGGCTTTTGCCAAGCGGTGCCATGTCCGCACCGGGATCAGAACCAGCGAACCCTCCTTGGCCGAGAAGCGGAACATGCAAACATAACCGCTGCACCATTGGGCCAGCCCCCAATTTATATTATCTCTTATCTTCAAAAACAAATAAATGAACAAACTCAGCATCTGTGACAGAACTGGCACGTAGTTGGTACATAATAAATGGGAGCTACTAGGATTGATCTCCATTGCTGCCATGTTGTTCTTCAGTGTTTAATAATGGTAACTGAGTTTTTAGGCCCAAAAGGTGCTTTTTTTACACAGAAGGTAATATTTATAGTTCCTTGTGTTTGTGTTAATATTCCATTTATAAAAGGTATAAATTTTATAACCTAGTTTTATGTTTTTACTTTTAACCTATAAATCTTATTACTATTTGCAAATAAAATTGTTACAATTTTAAACACTTAACTTTATTTGCTACCTAATTAATGCACAATTAACTTATAAATTTGATGGATTAAATCTCTTAAATGTTAACACTGTTTAGAAACTGTATTAACTAGATTTTCTTAGACATTTCAAACTATCATTGCCAATTTGATAAACTGATTCTCTCAAATATTTCAAACACGTAATAAGGCAAACTGACAAATCTAACATGCAAGATAGTTGTAATCTTTGTAAAACTCTCGTGAATTTAATAAATCAGATTTATAAATTTACTAAAGCAGACTCTCTTATCCGTTTCAAACATCTTAAAACAGATAAAGCCTATACAAAGCAGGACAATAACTATGAAACAGCTTACACAAAAGGATCATCTCTATTTGAATTTCTACCTTCCTGGAACGGCACACTCAGTTACCCTACTGAAGGGAGCAGACTGCCATCAAGAGCCTGCTGTGTGCGACAGAGAAAGACAAACACTGTATGATCTCATTTATATGTGGAATCTAAAAGAATGCCAAACTCATAGAAACTGAGAACAGAGGGGTGGTTCCCAGGGGCTGGGAGGTCAGGAAATGAGGTGATGAGCTGGTCAAAGGGGACAGGCCCTCAGTTACAAGACGAATAAGTTCTGGGGATCTAACGTACAGCATGGTGACTATGGCGAATAGCACTGTATTGTAGACTTGAAATTTGCAACGAGAATAGATCCTCGCATTCTCACCAAAAAGAGAAAAAACATAACTACATGAGGTGATGGATGTGTTAATTACCCTGATGGTGGGGATCATTCCACAAAATATATGTATATTGAATTATCACATTGTACACTTTAAATGTACATGATTTTATTTGTCAATTATAAAGCTGGAGAAAAAGAGAGAGAGCCTGCTGTGCTTGCTTGGGTAAAGGTTAGGACCATGAGAAGGTTACTGGTCCAGGTCAGGATAAGGAATGTGGCTTGGGAACAGCATCCAGGTACCACTTCAATGATGGTGCTGCCTTAGCCATGGGGTCACGCCTTCTGTGTGTCTTCTCACAGTCAGGTTTTAGCGGCTTCATCCCCAGCAGACTCCAAGCTTGCAGTTTTCAACTGGGATCAAATTTAGTTTTCCAGTCCAATGGATCATGTGTGTCATTTGTGTTCCTTTCAAGTTTATCCTTACCTAAATTTTCAACTTTTTATTGATTTCCATAGACAGAACTCTGAATCGCCTACCAAAATTGCCAATCTCTTTGCTGTCTGATTAGACGTAAATTCAGCATTCTCTTTATATTTTATTTTTTTATTTGTCTCAGATATCTGTCTTCCAAAGTAATTTACTGAGAAAGGAAACATCTTCTCTACCTTAAGGAATTATCTTTCTATCGAGACAGCTAAGACATCTACATAAATCACCTATAAAAAAGGGCAAAAAAAGAAGACTGCTATACAAGCATTTTAAGCACATTTCTAAAAGATTACTGTGATTGACAGAATTCGAAGATGGCTCCTATGAGCTGTGCCCACTGGTGTTACTCATATTATGATGTTACCTTGCATGGCAAAAATGGATTTCCCAGATGTAACTAGAGTTGATAATCAGTTGACGTTGAGATAGGCAGGTTACCCAGCTGGACTCCCGTCATCACACAGCCCTTTAAAAGTGGGGAGTTTTCTCTGGCTGGTGGCCAAAGGAGGAGTCGGGGAGATTGGAAGCCTGAGAGGAAGTGAATGTGAAGGAAGCTGTTGTCAAGATGGAGGGAACCTCAGAGCAAGGACCTGAGAGGGCCTCTAGGAACTGATGCTGTCCCTAAGTGAAGCCACCAAGGAAGGGGGGACCTTAGCCCTGTCACCACAAAGAACTGAATTCTGCCAACAATCTGAATGCATTTGGAAGCAATTCTTCCCCAGAGGCCCCCAATAAGAGCCCCATCAGACTGACACTTTGATTCAGGCTTTGAACCTACGCAGAGAACTCCGTCGAACCTGTCCAGTCTTCTGACCTGTGGAGCTGTGAGCTAAGCAGTGGATGGGGTTTTAAGTCACATGTTCGTGGTAATTAGTTAAGCGGCCGGAGAAGACAAATACAATAAAATTTCTCCTCAAATCCGAAGACTCAATTTGTTAATCTTTGAATTAATATATACTGATTATATATGTTATATGTATGTAAATAGGCACGTATATATACATGAAATATATATGAAGGCATCTCTAAGGTAGGGAGATCTTGGGATATAAGATCTGGTGATTGATGAGACTTCCTTGGCGGAACTAGGGACTGAGACTGACGATCTAAGTCTTCGTGGGGTTAGGGAGGGCTTAGGAATATAGCTTAAAAGGTCTATTTGGAGAAATTTTAAAGGCCCGCAGGGTTTTCCTCTATTGGCCTTGCCAGAAACATCTATGCCCTCTTCTTCTGGCATAAAGCATTGAAACGAAATGTCTTCCAGGTTGGATAACATACTGTGCCATTTATCAGTGAGCAACGTTTTAGCTCGGATTGTTTATCCAATTGGCAAGTTACCTTGCAAGACTCTGGGGAGTGGAG